ACGTTTGCTGCAACTGTACCGGAGCTACGACAAAGGGGCGCACAGGGCGGACATGTGGAGATACATCAAATTGTTTCTTGAGGGTGGCCATTACTTGGACATAAAGTGCGCGCTCTATCGCCCCTGGAATGAAACCATGGATGCCATTAGCCAGCAGGGCACGGCCCAGCTGGCTGTGCAGGGCACGGCCCAGCACAGGGGACAGGGCACGGCCCAGCCCCTCATCATGGCAATTGGAAGAGACAAAGATCATATCTTCCAGGGCATCATTTTGAATTGTCCGAAAAACCACCCTTTGCTCCTCCGAGCCATCAAGCACTGCATGCAGACAACCTCGCAAGAGTTGACTGGAACGGGGTACATGCGGTTCTGTAAGCACCTGTTTGCTTTGCTCACAGAGGACCTGGGCAGGGAACCCCAACCCGGTTGGAGTCAGTGCAGTCAGTATGGACCCATCTACTTGATGCACGAGACCAAGGAGAGAAAAATGAACAATTTTGCAGACTCAGCAGGCAACCGGTTTCATGTTGATGGCCACATGATGTATGCTGGGACCACTTTGTTTGCTGCCACCAGGGCATGGAAGTGGCAGCATGGCTTCAAGAGTTCCGACCTCCAGGTGCAGGTGATCAATGCTGCTGCTGAGGCTGCACAATTGGATCAGGGCACGGCCCAGTCCATTGCAGCCAAGCTGGATGAGAGCACGGGCCAGAGCAGTTCTCCAGCAGCCGTATCTACGGGAGCTGCCGAGGTAATGCCTTTGGATACTGAGTTGCCAACAGCGGATGAGTGCACCGGATTGATTCAGCTTCTCGAAAGCTCAAGCTGGTACCAAGGTCTGGGCACCCGAGAGATCATGCAGCTCTTTGTGCTTGGTCTCCGTGAGCACCCAACAAGCCAGGGATGGGTGGGTTGCAAACATTGCAAGAACGCTAGCCGAAAACCGATTCATTTCTCAAACGTGGAAAGTCTGCGCAAGCATTTTGAAGAGAAACACCTGCAGGAGCCAGCTACTGCGAGCCATGAAGAGGAACAGCATACACGGCCAACTGCGAACAACGATGAAGCAGTGGGCAATGAGTTGCGTGGCGTTTGGGCCGACGCAGAACCTGACTGGGCCAAAGCTGATATCAAAGATCGGCTAGCCGCAGCAAGCAAGCCTGCGCCAGCAGTTCCGATGGCTGATTTGCTTTTGAGTGAGCTTCGGCAAGCCGAAGGACATGTTGGCCGCTTCATTCAAAGAGTTGTCCAGGTATTGCAAGCTCGCGATGCTGGGCACGGCCAAGCATTACAGACCGCCTTCCAGCAGCTGGGCATTGTCCCTGACATTCTGTGCCCATCATTTTGGCGCACAAAGACCAAGAAGCACCTGACTTGGTCGGGCTTGACCCAAGTAGAAGTTTTAGGGGACGGGAAAATCAAGCTGTGGTCTTGGGATTCAGAACGCTGGGCTTGGGTTGAGGCAACTGTTCAGGATACAGCCATCACAGGCGCTATGATGAGTCTCTTCATTGATGGCATGACGGAAGTGGCAGAGAACTGCTCATTGGATCTGCCCAAAAGACAAGCAGCAAGCCTTAGCACTGCCGTTCTCTTCAACGAAGCTTGCCTAAAGCATTCCCAACAGCAACGGCTTTTGGTGCAAAAGGATGGCTTCAGCCTCAAATATGAGCATACTCCTGGAAGAGCCGACTTCAAGTACACCTCACGTAAGAGGAATCTCACCAACACTCAGGCCCAGACCAACATGCTCCAGGGTCGGCGCAAACGCGAGGAATATGCTGATTAGGGCGAGGAATCTGCTCATATGCCAGCTTAGGAAATTATGTGGTGATTTTTCCTATCTGCGATGCGTATGTTTGTTTTGTTTAACAATCAGGTCGCAGTTGATCGAGCATACAGTTGAAGCAGGGTTCACATCATAGGCTGATGATCCATGAGAGCTGGGACCCACTTCTACTAGTTGTGAGCAGATGCCGGGCACGTCCCATCTCAAAGCAGATGCAGGGCGCGGCCAACTCTTCAAAAAGGTGCACACGAGAATGATATGAGACCCAAAAATTACAGCCCCTTTTCGTCGGCACCATTCCGACTTTATTTGTCGGGTCGTTTTATTTTTCTTGTCCGGGCCGGAGATTACGAAAAATTTGTCGGCCCTACAACCCCGCCTCGTCGTTTGCTCTTTGTTTGACTCTGAAGCACCTTGAGCTTGAGCTCCTGCTCCAGGTTTCCAATTACCTCCGCTCAGAGTATGCTGCAGCGCAGGAAACTTTCAACGAGCTGTGTGGACCTCATCAGCTGCCTAGCATCAAGTTGTCATATCCTAGGACATCAAGTGACTTTTTCTAGACATCAAGTGAGATCAAACTCTGGGAACCTGGGAAGTCATGTTCCATAGAGGCGGACACACCTGCGAGCTTCGAGAACCGCCTCTCCATTCACTTCACCAGTAACAAGGCCGGTGACACTGGCGAATTTCCCTTCAACGAATGACCAGCAGTATGTCTGAACTCTGTGCTTGTCACTGTTGAAAGAACAGAATTGCTTTTAGGCAAGGCTCAATCGCTTATCCTTCATGACAGGTTCTGCCCATGAAGCTATCGGGTGTTGGATCTGTTGAGCAAAGCATTATCTTCCGCAGCAGCCAGGGACTTAATATGACTTGATGTGCTCTTTTTCTTCGCAAGAGGGTTGGTGTTGCGACTCTCTTTGTCTTTGCTCGTCCTTTTTGATCTTTTGTTGTGCCTGTACACTGTCATCCCTGGAGCACCAGGTTTCTACTCAATGCTCTACACTTGTGGCCCTTGTCCAAAAGTCCACCCACCAACCACCACACCACCACCACCATCATCCTCGTCCTCATCGTCATCCTCACCCTCATCGTCATCGTCATCGTCATTGACGTCATCATTGTCATCATTGTCGTCGCCACATCATCATCGTCCTCATCGTTTTCCACCACCACCACCACCGCCGCCACCATCACCATCACCGCCACCATCCCATCACCACCACCACCACCACCAGCATCATCATCATCATCATCATCAAAATCATCATCATCATCAGCATCATTTTATTCGTTTCACGTGTTTTTCACGGTGATGTCCACCTTTCCCTCAGGTGGAGAGGCTTCGTTGCAGGCCGCTGATTCCATTCTGCTGGCATTTGGTGCTGGACAAGCAGTGCCCAATTTGCAAGACAGCAATTGACATCATGGTTTGATGCCCAGAAACTCAAGAAGGTAATAGTATGGAAGATTTTTGAAGTTACGTTGAAGAATAAACATAATAATGACAATACATATATATATATTTATATAATGATATATATGTATATATAATCATATATGTGTATATGAAGCATTAGATGCCACATATATAATTGATATTGATATGGATGGATGTGTTGCATTGTTTCCCAGGAACAGGTGGAGCGTGATGGAGCACAATCCCGGGTCGGGCTTCCATCACTCTGTCGTAGCGTCTGAGCAAGCCTTGGCAGCCATTAGTATATAATATTAGTTATCCATGTAACTTATCCCCATGGATCCCATGATATACCATGATATACCATGATATACCCATGATATACCCATGATACCAATTATCCGATTACCCCCATGGATCCTATGAGATCCCTTTGGAATCTGGTCATTCCAAAGCTGACGCTTCCTATCGCGATTGTACAAAGCTAAGCCTACGCTGCAGCCAGGTGGAGATCCTAGCTTGAGCTGAAGCTGAAGCTCAATGGATTGGTTTGGGAAAGACATACATGGATAAATGGATAGTGGGGATCACATATCCCTCATCTCGTGTGTATATCTTGTTCTTCTAAACATCAGCTGTGGAAATTGTCATTATGAATAAATATCAACTGAGCAAGCAATGTCAAAGATAGTGCGAATCTCAAGGCCTATAGGAGGGTTCACTCGTGTTGAGGTTCTTCACAGACATCACAAGGGACACCACAAGCACAAGCACAGAGGACACGGACCGAGTCTGCGGTGCTTGTGCTTGTGGTGTCCCTTGTGATGTCTGCCTGTGGTGCTAGCACTGGCAACTCCAGCAGCAGTGGTCGGTGGTCAGGTCTTCAGGGGTTTGACCGGTGTGGTAAGATAAAGTAACCATACAACCATGTGACCTGGTTTCCAAACAAAACCTGATGGTGCCTAGTTTCCAAAACTTCCATGACCTGGACAGCGTTGCTGCAAGGTTTCGTACTATGATTCTGAACTGCGAAGTGGCTGGAAATTCGCCCGCTCACAGCCACGAGAATTCAGTCCTTTCCACCAATGAATCAGACCAAAAAACATGATTACAAAAAACTATATACTTGCACATGGTGATACAGGAGAAAGAGGTAACAACTTGGCAAGGACTCAACCATTCCAGTTATTTGCGACCAGGTGTGCTTCTTCAAAACCATGTTTCACCTTTTCAATGATAAGTCATTGGTGGATAGGTTGAAGGAAATGATTCAGTTGGCAAAATCGCCTCCACCCTCAGTACTCACGGAGGAATGGTGTATCCGGCTAGCCAAAAAGTGCCAAAGCATCAAGAAGAAATGCTTCTGGAATGGTTTTGCTCAGGCTCTTGTGGATAGTGACTGTTTTTTGGCATAAGTGATAATTTTGCAGACCTGCGCCTCTGCAATTGCCTGTAAGACATTAGACGGAACCGATTGCTGTGGTCATTGACTCATCATCATGATAATCATGATAATCATGAAAATAATAATCATCATCGTCATCAAACCCGCACAAACCAGCGCGAACCCGGGCGAAACCGCACGAACCCGGGCGAACGTGCGCAAACCCGCACAAACCCGCGCAAACCCGCGCGAACCCGCGCAAACCCGCGCAAATCCGCGCGAACCAACGCGAACCCGCGCGAACCCGCGCAAACCCGCGCAAACCCGCGCAAACCCGCGCGAACCCGCGCAGTCAAATTCGGACACGATCCCCGCTACACTGATATCATGGTGATCACGAGCAAACCATGAGCAAACCATTTGCCAGTGACTCCAGGTGTACCGACACGGAAAATAATTAGTCGTGCTGCATCCCACATTTGTTGATCCCAAGATGCTTATTTTAGTGAAAACAGGTGACGCAATCCATTAATCATCATTAATTCCCGTTTTTTTTCGGTTTTCTGCAAAATATGGCAAAATATTGCAAAATGTTGCATTTTTGCAACATTTTGGGATAATATGGCAAAATATAGGAAAATATTGCAAAATGACAGGTTTTTAACATATTTTAGCGCATCCCAGGTGTGGCTGAAAATGCTGCTAGGGCAGCAGCAAATGCGGCTGCTGAAGCCACTGAAGCTGCAGGTGCGCCAGCAAGCGGCGAAAACCTTGCCCGAAAAAATATATACAGTATGTTAAATTTATATTATATTCTGTAGATATATATATATATATGTAAGTTGACTCCCTAACAGTGGGTTGTTAGTAAGTAGCGTCATATGGTAAAATCAATATGGCCAGTATGGCGATATACACAAATCATAAAGTTTATGTAGGCAGAAATGGGGTAAATCCAATGATGGTCCCAATGAGTTTGGCGGAATTTCCAATTGTTCAGCCTCCATGGCTATTGGGATTTCCCAGCCATGATTTCTAAATCTCTTCTTTGGTGGGAAAAACGTGACGTGATTTCCCCACATCCCATGAATATTCCAATATTCAATCAGTTCTACCCAAAAAAAGACATTACGAACTCATTCATGTTCCCATATTCCACGCTTAATGAACAATCATATCAGTGTGTAAGCCCCACTATTCCAGTATATCTAATATACCATGAAATTACCAACAGTAATTATATGTGCTTCGAATGTTCCAAGATTCCAGTATTCGTAGCATGATCAACACTCACTAGTTTTCATTTTTTTAGAAGTCCCAAATATTTCATTATATCCCATATATATAGATATATATATATATCCCATTATATCAAATTGTCTCCCATTAAATCTCAATAAAATTCCCCATTACCAACCATGATTAAGCATTAGTTAATTGTTAATCACATGAGTCATGCTTGACCAACCAACTGAACCTTTTTCGTGACCATCAAAATCCTACAATGATAGTTAACCAGTTATGAAAATGACCATGAACTAGTTCATGAGTTAATATGCCAATATTAATTAGTCACCAATGACCATAATTCGTTAGTATATCCCATGATAGTGACCTGTATCATTCTTAACTGATGATTTCGATTCACCAATGGTAGTTAACCACTATAATGGTTAGTAAAACTATAATGTTTTTTTTTGTGATAGTGGTTATGGTTGGTTATTTACTCATTAATATTGACCATTAACTAATCCATGAACATCCCATGGTTCAAATCCCATGAAAATTTGGTCACATCTCCATAGTTAATGATCATGAAAATCCCATGGTTACCCTCTGGTAATGACTGCGACAGAAAGCGACACCGAAGCCATGGCCCATAGGAAGTTCGTTGATTTGATTTACCTAGCTATAAGATGGTTATTTATTTTCCAGTTCGCTATGTAAACGTTTACCAGAGGGTATATGGATGATAAGCTGGATTTACCCAGCAAAATAGATCAAACTATGGAAAATCACCATAGAAATAATGAGTTTTCCCATGAAAAATGGTGATTTTCCACTTCGTTATGTAAACTCCCAGAGGGTCCAGGGATCTCCATGAAACGTCCGAGGCCTCACGCCCTGGGCCGTGGCCAGCGCGGCCGGCAAGGCGGCCGCCAGGGCGGCGGAGCTGGAAGGCCGAAGGGATCATGGGAAAACCATGGGGAAACCCGTGGGAAAATCGTGGGAAAATCATGGGGAAATGATGGGAAATATGATAGGAAAAGTATGGAGGATTTGCCAAGAAAGTGATGATTCATTGGTGATTTTGCAGATTGGAGTCTTTCTTAATGGTTAACATTGAGATATGAACGAATATGATGGGAATCATGACATCGATTTATATCATGGGAGGTATCCCATTTTCAACATCGCAAAGTTTTAATCATGATGGGAATATTAACCATGTTAGGGGGTATCAAGCAAACTCGATGGGGATATGATGTGGACTATAATGAACCGGTCCTATAATGAACCGGTCTCAGAATGGCCTAGTTGTACCCAAATATGGGGCTGAAACCTGCAAATTTTCCCTGGAGAAGCAGTCGACTTATGGTGCTGTAATTTTGGCTGACAAGTATCGACTTACCAGATTGCTTTTGGTCTTCAATCTTGCTGATATAGCTCGAATTTTGGCCAGAAATGTGGAAGAGTTGAACAAACAAGAGCATTGAGATTGAAGTGTCCAAAAAGCCGGGAAACAAATTGTGACAGTGATCACACCCGCAAAAGATGGTGACAATCCATTGCATCTTGAGAAAGTTTCAATAGGGAGACTATGTCCTCGGTCTGACTTGATGAAAGGCAGGGATCTGCACTGGTTCGACTTGGGATGGCATTTTCATTGTGACCAATCTTCCCGTTTTTGATCTATCAATCCCAGTCCCATGCAATTCATCAAAAAGGGATGGTTAATCCCTTTTTTTCTTGGATAATGATTTTTTCGTTGATTGCAGTTGCACAAAAGCCCCCATGTAGGTTGGATAAATCCCATTTAGCGCCTGGATTTCCAGCCATGCCGGAGGGGATATCTACTATTCTATAAATAGACCCATCAATATTCCATAATATCCCATTCATATCACATTAACATCCCATAATTTTCAATAAAATCACTATTATTAACCATGATTACGCATTAATTAATCATTAATTAGCCATCTTACTCATTCTTAACCATGATAGTGACCATTAACCAACCATATTAACCATGATGAACCATTCATACTCCATCAATATTCAACTCATCCCTATTATTGAAATTCCCATTATTAACCATTACGAACCATTCATTATTAACCATTATTAACCATTCACCAGCCAATGATCTCCATCAAAACCCAATTATTATTTTGTACTTGACCATTATAATAATGACCATTAACCACTAGTAACCATTAATGGTACATAATGAATATTAATGGTTACTAGTGGTTAATATAATGTTATATAATATTCATAATGGTTACTAGTGGTTATATGTATATATATATATAATATTATAATGTTATTGGTGGCCATTATAATATAATGTTACCATATTAACCATTAATATACATTATACTGTATGAACCATTTGGCATCCCACGTTGTGAAGATTTGTGAAGGCCTCCTCGGCCGTGATGCTGCGCCCTTAGCAGCACACGCCGCGGCTTCGGCGCTGTCCCAGCGCTTGGCGGCGGCAGGTGGGGTTTTAAAAAGAATACAATGGTTATATATGGTTATGTATACGATAGATAGGGGATATTATGGTTATATATATATACATGGTATATTACCATATATTACCTATTAATATTGTTGGTATAATAGGGTTAATCAAAGGAAGTTGGGAAGCAATACCTATATGATAAATAGGGGATGACATATAATGATCATAGTACACTAATAATATTACTAGTGGTAGTTGTATATGGTATATTACCTATGAAGAATGATAAATAGGGGATTATATATGAAAATACGGTTAATAATCCCCGAGTAAACAATAGCATGGTTTAATATCATAGGTTTAACAACAGTATGATAAATCTGGGGATGGGTCAAAACCTATTATCGCCATATTTGGGAAATAAGCGTCCAAGAACCAGATATTGATAGGGAACACTGGTTTAATAGGTGATGAATCACATATTTTGGACCATCTGAGGGGGTTTTAATGTTAGAGGATGGGATTATTTCTAGATATAGCTGTCGTAGCTTTTATAACTGGGTGTTTATCTATTTCATAGATAGATATTGAAATCAAGCATGTACCATAATCATATAAATCATATTATATTGACCACCAAATCTAATAAAAATGTTATAACCAACAGTTGTGGTTGCATATTGTTGGAAGATCTATATGGTCAGAATATGATAGTATGATCTTGGGGCTTGAATATTATTAGGTAGTCATGCATCAGTGTATGTTCCAATAGTCTGCGTATGCTCTTATTCGGTTATCCAATTGTATTACCCAGTGATATGAATATCTTGTGGTTTTAATATATCATTTTCCTGGGATATATAGCATCAGAATCCTGTTCATCAGTTCAGTGCTGTTTTTATCGTAACAATCTGATATCAATTGATGGATTGTAGTTGTGCTTGTTTGATAGCAATGAGAATTCTGGTTGTGTGAGATCAAGAACTATCTTCCACTCCTATAGTGGCGACTCGGTATAGTTGATATAGACAGGTCACATGCATGGCTGCAGAGGGTTTCACTATTGCTGAGGTCCCATGAACATCCACATGACATTGCAACATGGGAATAGGATTTTTCATAGGCTGAGTGCCAAGAACAGCTGCAGGTGTGGCCACCCAGCGTGTTGCTGAAGAAGCTGCAAAAGTGGCAGCTCAGGCAAGTTGTCCATCCTGAGATTCAGGTGATCAAATCTTTCCCGTGAAAGCCTGGTATTTGATTCAGGAGCTGAACACATGATCGAGGGTACCTCATAGATGCTTTGTGGATGGCAAAATACACTGAGATCATGTTGGAAAGATCTAAACTTGAATTACTTGATCCCCGTCATTGATGGTGGTTCGTGTTATAACCTATATACCAGAATTCCCAGTCATACCTGTTTTTTTCTCATCCATGCAGGAAAAACCATGAATTTGCCATGGTGTTCATGCCATTTGAAAATCGCAGTACGTCCGATGCATACCATATTACATGAGATACATCATTTGATCATTTGATAGCAACGGAGACCATTTACATAATCACTAGTCGCAATTCTATTTCGGCATTGTCAAATCCCACGTTTTTGATTGCATCATGCTAGGTCAATCTCATTTACATATATTGAAATCCATCATGAGTACATCAACTGGATTGACCTAACATGATACAATTTGCACACATCACAAACACCATTTATGTAGGAATATCAAAGGATTCTTTGGAGAAATATAGCCTCTGGTTATTTAACATAGCCATGGAAAATGGCCCATTTATAGATGGTTTACCTATCAACAATGGTAATTTTCCATGGATATGTTAAATAACCAGATGGTAGCAGTAAATATTGCAATACCAGTCAACCTTGCCACAGCCAGGCCGCCGAGCACTGCGGCCTGCCGGCGCGCAGCTGTGCCGAACTTGCAGCCGCCGAGGCGGGGTGGCATTTATTAAACATAGCAACTGAATGAAAGGAGAAAAAACATGAAAAAACAGGATAATATGCAAATATGATGGATATGTTTATGAATCTATAAATGTGCATGATGATTATATGATGGTTTTTCATGATTCATGGTAATCATAGTAATAGTATTGTGATATGAATTGCCAAGTGTGATAAATAGCAGCAAATAATTGTACATATACGATATGATACTGACATACACTATTATACCATGATTATTATTATTTTATTATTATGATCGGTGATAAATAGGAGTACTGTATGGTTTGATAAGATTATTACTTCTCTTGTCACAGGTAACATGAAAACCAATCGTAGGTTTTATTGTCTTACTGGTGCTAAACATCTGGAATGCGGGATGATCCATGACTATATAACAACTATGAACAATCATCTGATTTCCCCATTTTCTATAAGGCACCAGTAAGTCATGGAAATGAATCTTATGATTCTTGTATGTACATTATGTATTTATATTTATAGCAAAGACATATCGGATATGTCAATGTAGATCAGATATATTTCTATCAGCTCTAGATCTCCAGCGATCTCCCATAATTATGGATCTAAACGGATGGTGAAAAAAGGTCCTGAAAATGATCAATTTTGTGGGCCCAAAATGACAGCCCTTGTTTTTGTTGCTTCTCCAAGAAATCCGGTGTAGACGTTCATGATACTAAAATAGTTGTGTATACACAGAGAGAGAGAGGGAGAGGGAAGAAAAATATAGAAAACAATAGATGGATAGATGCATGCATGTCTACCACCATGAGTATCTACCTTTGTTGAATCATCATCACTAGTGATCAGCTTGAATATGTCTCTTTCTACGGTATTCATTTGTTGCTGGAAAATTTCATGGCAATGCTGCTGATAAACCATGAGGGATTAACAACAGTTGACAAGAAATGGACCCATGAATGGAGATGGTTTACCAAGACTTGGGAGATTATACCAGGAATGATTCGTTGGAAACCAACATGCTGATGAGGCACTCAAGGATAAATGGTCTCTCCGCCCAGATCAAAGCGGGAATGTTCGTCAAAGCGATACCCTTGCAGCCATGCTCAAAAGTTTAGATCCCTGCGCACCCCTCAGGGATGTGGAAAACTTGTGGTTTTTCAGCAGGTAGGTTAAGGCCAGGGTAACCATCCAAATCCCTGACACCACGTTGCAGGCCGGCAAGGCAGCAGCAGAGGCCAGGGTGTTGGCCAAAAGTGGTGTCTTTTCTGTTTTGTGCTTGGAAATCCTCAAAGAGCTGACAGTCGATTCTCCTGATGTTGGAGTACTTCGCAGGCGGTGAATTCTGCGCCAACTTCGCCAGAAACGGCTGAGCAAAGTGAGCCCGCCGAGATTCCGCCTGCGAATCAGGCCGGAAGTGGCCGATGGTCCATGTCTGTATATTGGAAAGTTTGGTAGAGATTCCATGCTAAAGGTAGAGAACGGTCATGATAGATGACCATGAGTTCTTAATAGTTCTTACAGGTGCCCAGAAGCCTTCAGGCTTGTGAATGGAAATTTGCACTTTCATCCACTTCACCTTTCACTTTCCCCTGGCTGGCTACCATGATGAATTTTGCCCCGGTGCGTTCAGGCAAAGTCATCGCAAGAGAAGATGCTTGGACTACAGTGATTTGGTAGAGCAGGGGCTATTAGTTTGAGCCACAAGAGATCTTTTGGTCTTGAGTCATGGCCACCATGTCTCATGCTGCAAGTCTACTACAGGTTGGGTTCCTTATTGAAGCGCTTGAAGGGTGAAGCCGACGAGGAACGACAAAAGGCAGGGCCTACACTTTTCACGTGAAAACATTGGCCAAAATTCAATCCGACCATTTTACCCAGTTTCAACTTAGAGATCCAGACATATGCAGACAGCCCAGTGGAGTGTCAGGAGTTGGAACTTCAAGAGGTGCTGAAAGCCAAGGCACAGTTTGTTTCCGGCATTTCAGATGGATTGAAGAGATCAGAGAATCAATTTTGATGTGCATGGTGGCTCACCATGGTTGATTCTTGGATTTCAGAGTCTATATAGCTGTTTTATATTGTTTTATGCTGTTTTATAGTTTAACATTTAACACTAACGATGATGGAATCTGGTGGACTTGTTTATATGTTGGGTTCCCTTCACTGGGCGTTGCAGCAGTTGCAGCCCCGTCTCTCAGGATCGTGCAGAGACGTTGCTGAAGGCCGCGAAAGTGGAGAAAGGTCTCTTGGAGGTCTGCGTCGCGGTCAACCACCATACGGGTCTTCGGTGCACAGACATCAATTCTGAAAAGTGACATGGCCCAAGTGTAAACCAAGGAGGGTGCCTAATCGGAATACGATGGAATATGGAAAATATATGAAAACATCATATTGTGTATCCATCCCATTCCATCCCATTCCATCCCTATGTTTTTTTTCCAGGTTCTGCAGGAAAAAAACCACTTATCGTCCAGCTCGACAGGAGCAGTTGAGTACTGCACAAAGCCAGGCTCGTATTGCCAAAGAGGCTGGGACTGGCTGATGGAAGCTCCACGGAATTTCGGTTCACGGCACCAAAATATTGCCGTGTCTTTGGTCATGGTAGTCTATGGATTGAACCTGGTGATGTTACAGGAAACTCAATAGTCATACTTCACTATGCCCTCATTATTGAATAGAGATTGAATAGATTCGATCACAGAGTCTCTTTCTTTTTGACATACGCCTCAAAGGGGTGTTTGGGTGGAGTATTTCCCATGTCTTTTGATCCCACTATCCCACTGGTAGCGTCAGGAAGCCATACAAGCGAAGGAGCAGGCTGCTGAAGCGACGGCAGCGGCTCAGAAGGCACAAGTCGAGATGTGACTTGGATCGGTTCATGAAGGAAATGATGTTGATATATGTTGATGTGTGTGGCAGGCGTTTCCCTTCAGAACTGGACCTTTTTTTGTTTCCATAGAGATGTCTACATTGTGCGGGTGCAAAAGACATTGCAGATTCCAACAGCAGCTTTTGGTTTTCAGGCAAGCCATCAAGACGAAGGCTGAAGAGGATGTGAAAGCCGCTAAGATCCTTGGCTCCAGGTGCCATGCGAAGCATTAAATCATTAAAGTAAAGGACTAAGACTAAGATGTATGAGATCTATCCTTCAGATTCACCCAAAAAAAGGAAAGCTGGTTAAGCGGACCGAAGCCACAGAAATGGACGGAAATGGACCACGATGACCACGTGGTGCCACGTAGAACCCGGACTCCCTCAGGAGCGATTTGGCCAAGGTGGGGCGATGGTTTCGGCTGAGCAAATTCCTGACACCTGCGCCTGTTGCAATAGGATTTTTGGGACACCAGAGGTTGTTAGGGGTGACGCCAAGGTTTCCTGAATGTCTGGTTCTCACTGCCAGGCGCAGCAAGAACAGAAAGCTGCTGCTGATGCCGCAAAGACTGGATGGGTGATTTGTAATGTGAAGGCTTAGGATTGACGATGTTAGGTTGACATGACATGTTGCAATCTTGTGCAGGCTGCGTCGATGATGTTGAAGTTCAAAGTCACACAGTGTTGTGAATGGAGGAAGGCATGCAGATGTTTAAGAACAGTAAGATTATTTAAGATTCAACTCAATTTTTCAGTGGGAGGAGGGGCCAGGCATCCTGTCTCTTGCAGGAAGGCCGAAGACGGCAAAAACAAGGCGGAGAAGACCGTCCAGGAGTTGAAAGACAAGATGCAGGCGGAGAAGAACGCCACCACTGAGAGCATCCAAAAGAAATTGGATGAAGCTCTTGCAGCCAAGGCGCCTTCGGCACTCATAAGCACAATGCGGGAGAGACATGGCCCAAGCTCAAAAATAAAATGCATAGAATTTCGATCTAATTTCTTCTGACATGTATTTCTATGGGATTCTCTTCTGATCTTGATCCATTTCAACTTCACAGGTCAAGATGTCCAGCGGATTTCTGGCCCAGGCATCTTCGGATAAGGCGTTGGCAGCAACTTGGATTGTTATGTCAACGGCTGTTTTGCTCCACAAAATCCATGTGGGATATCCGAAAAGTGAGATGACTGTGCTGGGAAGGTCCTACGTTGCATAGCTTCGGACATCTCACCGAATATCAATTTCAAAACAGCAACTACGTCAAAGGGATTCCACTGCCGGACTGGGCCTTTGCACTTACAACATCTAAGGATCTGAAGACTTCCCAGGAGAACGAACGAAAAAAGGTGGGGGCCTCGGGGTCAAAGTGTAGAAACCATGTCATCGTAAGGTGATGCGGATGATGCTTTCGTTCCTGGCGCAGTTTGATCACAACTGCCTTGGACCTTCAACGCCAGGCGCTTCAAGAGGCCGAAGAAAAGAGCAAGTCCTTGCGGCAGGCAGAGGCCCGGACACATTCCGTTAGACCTACCGGGACCTACCGGCTATCAGCACTACCAGTAGCACTACCAGTATGACTCTGCCAGGAACAGCGCATCAAGGACAAGGACCAAGAGCTGAAGAAGCTCAGCCACTCGCCAGTTCGGGTGAAGCGCTTTGGTGTCGGTTGCCGAAACAGGCGTTGAATGATGAGTGATGCTCTTCTTGGTGGTTTCAAATGTTTTTGGGATGATTCTCCCAATTGACTATTTCTTTTGTGATGATGGGCTTGCAAACCACCACTACTTCGGGATGACATGTGCAGTCATTTTTCTGAATGTCGAAATGAGTAGCTCGACAGATTCACTTGAATTCCGTGTAAGGTGAAGAATTGCAACAACTGCAGCGACAGTTGACAGATCGCGACAAGCCGCACGGTTGAAAATTGGGTCAAACTTGTGATGAGGAAGATCTTCATTCATTTTGTTCACAAACTCTTCCGAACTACAAACAGAGACATGTTTGTTCTGGAGGGATTCCAAGTCAAAAGGTTGATCAGAGGTATTGAAGGAAGACCTAGCACGTGGTGTTTGCGTGTCATCCCATCTTGCAGCTTTGTTTCTCACTTGGACTGATTCAACCTCGGCCAAATTTCTTTCTGTATCTCGGTTTCTATAGACAGAAACTGATAGATGGAACTCATTTAGAGTTCTCCATTCTTGTCTATCAGTCTATCAATAATGAGCCATACTATGCACCCAAAAAATATCAAAAAAAAGCAGTTCAAAAGATAGCTCCATCAATTTGCATCAACCATCATCAACCATCAATCATCCACAGATAACTTCCAGAGCTTTCCCCCAGGCAGCTGCGCAGCGTCACGGAGCAGCTGGCAACCATCAACGGGAGCTGGGCGCAGCACGTGGAGCAGCTGCACGCGAAGTACAGCCAGGTGGCATGGTGGGACACCCCGTTGTGGAGAATTCACCATGAATTACAGGGGGATTACCAGGATCTACCATGGTTTAGCCATCAAAATATGGGTACCCTCTGGTTATTTAACATAGCCATGGAAAATTGCCCATTTATAGATGGTTTACCTATTAAAAATGGTGATTTTCCATGGCTATGTTAAATACTGTAACCAGATGGTATATAATATGGGTATATGATAATGTTATGTCATACTTTCAAAATTAAGCCAGGATTTTGCTTACTAGTGTTTCGCGACTTTACCTTTTCGCATACCTGCATCTACTTTCTTCTGACTCTTTCTCTTCTCTGATCTTCTTTCTTCTTCATTTCTCTTCTCTGACTCTTCCCACCTCTGCTTTTCCATCCGTCCATATTGTCGGAAGTTTGTGACTTCTAAACTACCTTCGATCATTATTATCAGGGGCTTCAATGTGCTCTGAAGATCTTTGATAGGGCCGTGGGTACTTAAAATTCCGATGGTAGTGTTGATATCCATTGATGGGTCAGGCTCATTGTGGCTATTGGCTACTGGCTATCCGCCAAATGTTGATGGTTTCTCCAGTTATTCCATTCGTTCAAATTGAACTGTGATCCAGATCATGCTATAGCACCACAAGAGAAAGGATAGCCGCTGCTCGTGCAGGCACCAACATGAAGCTACTTTGACCCTGCTGCGCATCGCTCGCAGAACCAGACGACATCTTTGCTAAGATTTTGCGGAGGAGATAGGGACGACATGGGATGATAGCTTCCCAAAGTTGGTTGATGAGCAGTTAACATTGTTGAGATGCCCCAGATACTTGCATTGGAAGAACAAACATGTCTTGACAGGGCCTTCTCTTTTGCGCAGCAGGGTTTGAACAGAGAGGGACAGATCGTGATGCTGCTGTGAAAGGAGCAGTGTGGAGTCACCAAGTTTTGTTGAGCATTGCGTCCAGGCGTAGCTCAACGTCGCGATCTCCATGACGCTTGCCAACTAAGAACTTGGACGGAGGACAGTGTCAAGGGACAGGGCATGGTCCTATCACAACACGTTTCTTGGACAAGGTGAAAGATGGTGGGAGCTGGTGACTGCTGGTGTGATACGCAAGTGCCAAGCCAAGACAGAGTCCAGCACACTTTCCCCTGAATTTTCGGCCGGCAATGATTTGCGGATGGAATGGATGAGTTTTGCCAGTTCGTGCCAGGATCAGTTTGGCACATTGGCTGCGCCGAATCAACAAGGCCAGGATTCTGTAGGTACTGTATATGTTTTGCACGGGATGAGAGTGCAGCCATTTGTGGCTGTGGAGGTTGGAATCATCAGAGTCCAAGTTTGATAGAGCTTGATTGACAATTCCCGCAAAGGTTGATGGATGTCATCATTCTGCTCCGGACCACAATTTGCTGCTGAGATTGCCTTTTTTGAATGAGCGATGTAGGGCAATGTCTGCTATGAATCTCCTTCCTTGGCTTCTATTTGCCAGGGTGAATTTTCAATGAGCAATATGATGTGGACGGAAGGATCGGCTTTCTTTGGCAGTGAACATTCACAAGCCTGATCTCTCGTCCCAACTTGTTTGCTGTCATAAAAAGTGACTGGAACAGCAGCTCCCACCAAGTCAGCTGAGCCGCCTCGAATCCAAAAGATGGTCCGGGTGCGCTGGGACTGCTGCTTGGCTCAAAGTTAAATGGAATACAAAAATCTTTGACGCGAAAAAGGTGTGATACATGTACTCTTCACCTTAGCACTTTCAAAACATCATAGAATAAGAGGAAGTTTCAAAAGAAGACATGTCAGTTTGCCGCATGTGGAGTGCAATGGAGCTTGCGTGCCACAATAATGTGGCAGTGGCATCTGATTTTGAAGCCCAAAAGATTCCAAGATCATCCTCGATGGATTTTGACATTCCAGGAGCAGAGAGACTTTCGCTGCTGAGCAAAGGCGTAGGGGCTGAGATTTGAGCAGTCAATGAGACAACATGCTGGAGTCATCATCGGCCAGAAAGCATTGGCTTGCCAGAAGGCAGTACTTTGACTTGTTGCAAACACAGCTACTTGTACGGAATGGCGCGCAGAGCCAGCAACCCCAAAAACAATAAGGTCAATCCTTCAAAATGTAGAGGATGGGTACAGGGCCAGCTGAAACCAGATTCCGCATCCTCTTGTCTTACTGGAAGATTCCGCTTGCAGCATCCAGCAATCCAAAGTCTACTGTCAAATTGATCCGCTTCTCAGATTATGTTTGTGGCTGCAGACGGATCAAACATATGGAAATGTTAAGACAGATTGAAATTCATAACGAAGTGAAGGATGCTGCAGAGAACCATGGAATCCTATTGTTTCTGCCAATGACTCAGATGAAAAACGGTACGCAACATGACAATCAACGCAGGAGTTGCCAGCCAGAGTAAGCTTTACAACTGAGGTCGTGCTTGCAGATGCTTGCAGATACCATGGTTGGTTTTGGGATCGTTGACAAGCTATTTTTGTGTTGTTTCACCTGCTTCTCGCCCAAAGTGTCCTAGACAAAGAAATTACAGTAGGGCCCCACACACCACCCGCCATCCCCCGCAGGAAATCTTGGACCTCCGTGCCAACCTTGATGGCCTCGAGCGTGAAAGAGACTATTATTTCAGGTGTCCCGGAGAATGCTGTGCCACAGCTGAATCCATCAGAAATGACACTCCTCTTGGCAATGTGTTGCAGGATTCTGCGCTTGTCACAAAATTTTATGCCAAATTCGTTATTGCCTTTTTACCAATTTCCGCACAAATGGTGCTGGATGGATGATTCTGCTGTTGGCACCGACTTGATTGGTTTGGTGATTGCCAGGAAGCTGCGAGATGTGGAAATCCTGTGCCTTACATTGAAGGCCGCTTTGGAACCGGGCACCGAAATTTTTAATAGCAGCTGATAGGTAGAGCAGCAGGGTTGTGCTGGTAGAATCGACGCAAACTATGTTGAAATCTGTGACATCAGAGAAAATGCATAGAGACCACTCACATTGAAGGCCAACATGGATCCAGGGCTCAAGGCCGAGAAGGTCGTGGAAGATGTACAAGGCAGGTTGATTTTGGCTTTTGCATTTGCTGCCGCCATTTGAAGAGACGGAACACGGACCGGATGAAAAGATTTTGAACGGCAAGGCATCCTGTATGCAGAGAACGAGGCCAGGGAATTGGAAGCATTACCCTGCAACATTCATCCCACATGTTATCCTTTCAGATGGTTTCAAGTTCTATCTTCGTCAGGTTGAAGCTGAGATGCCTGAGGCTGAATCCAACCATTGATTCTTTCAGCCACCAACGTTTTCTTCGGGATTCCGACAGTTGCGTGTGAGCTGCTGTCTCATGCGAGTTGTTTTTGAATTCAGTGCCCACACTTTGGCTTCGGTCGCAAATTGATTGCATAGAAAATTTGTGTAGGTAGAATTTCAAATTGGCAGTTGTAGGAAACACCCAAACTGCCGATTGAATCTGCAGATATTTGCATTTGCACCATCAAGTCCAGAAACAGCTAAAATAAGTGTTCTCAAGCCGGAATTTGTTTAAGAGCTTTGGCAGATTCCGCCAACCAGCTTGCTAAGGAGGTGGAAGTGCTTTGAAAACATTGCATTTTGGTCTTGACATTCACCCCTTGATATTTGTATTGGTATCTTTCTTAAACACAATGTGAGCAGCAAATTCAGAGGTAAGTAGCGAACTAGGAGCAAATCGTGAAAGTTTGATGAAGATGGAAGGCCCGGAAAAAACAGCAGTACATTAATGGGTTTTGCGCGCAAGAAGTTCTATGTTGTTTCCTGCGTCATCAGGTGGGCGGTTTTCATTTTTGTTAGCACTAGGCCACCTGACAATGAAATATGGCAATGGAAGATTCTGTGAATCTGGGTTATATCCGAGTTATATCCTAAAAGCAAGGCCTGTTGTTGAAGAAACTACCATTATTATGTTTAATTATCGGAAATATTTAATCTGAAAATATACAATTCCATTATATGTTGTTCGTATTTGATATTTATTACATTTTATTCTTGTTTTCGAGCCTCGATTGAGTATCTATTCTATTGCGAAGATATTAAAATATTAAAATATAATCCCCTTACGATGCCTTTTTTAGGTCTTACTAATTCGGCTTTTAAGCCCTTTAATGCTATTATTACTTAAAATCTATTGGAAAAGTATGCTTAATTATGGATGGATGTTACAATGTTAAGTGGGGATTGGAATGTTTTTGGAAATTAAGATTTTTAAAAATAATATATGTGGTTATGGTGATGGGAAATATGTAACATATAATAAGTTAAATATTATTTCGATTATTTTTGGATATTAAATTGTTTGATGGTAATTGTTATGAATTTTATATTTTGTTGAGAATAGATAAAATATAACGATTTTTCTTATGTTTTTAAAAATAATAATAAATATTGGTATTTTATATAGATTTTATTGCGAACCATAAAAAAAATATATTTTGGATAATGATTTTTAAATTTATATGGGATAGGAAGGTATTATTTTATATATATATATATTTGAATGGAATGGAATATTTTTTTTTTTTGGTGGAAGGTTTTTTTTTAATATGAAATTAAATTTTTGTAAAAAAAAAAATAATAAATAGATGGGTATATATTTGTTTTTAATTGATTTATTTGGTTTATATAATTTTAAATTTATATTATTATTTTTTTATTTTTAATGTAAAAAATTAAATTATTAAACATTAATAAAATAATATATTAAATATATTTATTTATATTTATTATTTTATTATTAAATAATATTGAAAAATAAATTTTAACAAAAATAAATTTAAATTATAAAAAATTAATTATATAAATAATTTTTATTTAAATTTTTGGAAAAAAATTAGGACATAGAATTTGATTTTTAAATTAAAATTTATTTATATTTAATTTTAAGAATTATGTTTTAATTTGATATTTTGTATATTGGTTTTTATATATTAAAAAAAAATAAATTTAAATATATTATGAAATTAAAGGATTTTAGGCGAGGAAATATTTTTATAATAAATTGAATATAGGTAATTTAAATTATTGAAATTTATTAAGGATTATTGTATTTTTGATTTGAAGGTTATATATATATAATTTTATTCGACCGCTTGTAAGGTTCGATATGTTTGTTGTTTATATGGTGAATGTTGATATTTTGGAAAAATATATTTTGGGAAATTGGATAAGGATAAATTTATAAAATTAAATTATTATTTATTTATAATATATTTTCGGATATTGATATAGGATGGGATGGCTTATATATGTGCGGAAATATGGCGAGTTGTTTTGGTAAAATTCAAAATAGATGGGAGAGATGAAAATTTTGGGGTCTGAGGTTTTATAATTTATTTTTGGAATATTATTTTAAAACAAATGCATTGACATACCCTGAGGATCCATACCCATAAATAGGGTCAAATCGGAAATACATACAAATAATGAAATCATTTCTGGTGATTGCAAATAGCACACACATTGTCGAAATCTAAATCGGAGATTGTATGTTATCGGAAACAGGTTCATATTGGCTTCAAATTACCTACTATATTACGTAATAAATCGTACCAAACCGTAACGAATCGTGACAGAAGACAAAATACCATACAGTACTTAAATTTTGGGCATTGTCGGAAAACGCCGTAAGAAACCATAATAAGGTCAGTGGCTATTCCCCATAGATTTTCGGAATTTATCGGAAATCAATCGGAAAATAAA